ACTTTCATTCAAACCAAGTTAATTGAGAAAGAAGTATATCTTTCAGTTGGCTATACAGAGTTGAAACGCACAGCTAGACTTCTAAACAAATGTGTAATAGCTGCACAGTTACTTTTAAAGAATCAGGTTATAAATAAGTAAGCCATTTCACTCCGTCAGAGAACATACAGTTATCTTCTACTCTGAACCAAATGCCCAGATTGCATTGTAAAGTAGGATTCCTCTCTTAAAGAATACCAAGATATATACATGTATACTTGTGTGTAAATCATGTATTTAACATGTAGAACACAGAATAAGCAACAAAATAAACTCTTATCTACTACCCCCGAGGCGGGGGAGGGGTGCAAGCATACATTAGAAACATCTAACCATCAAATGAATATAAAGAAAAGAATAGTGATCCCACCCCCCACAGTTTTGCCCTCATCTCTTACAACTACACATAAATACATGCCATTTCTTTACGAAGAGCATGGTTCATTTCTAAACTCTTATCAGAGCTTTCCTGAACCCCGCAATGAGACCATAATTTCTCCCCGGAAAGTTCTGAACCTACAAGCACTGTTAGCCCCCAGGCAAAATAGGATCTAGCAGGCCAGCTATCTAATGCTTCATTTTCTTAATGCACAAGGGCAAGGCTTTCTCAATTCTGACCTCATTACCCCTTGCACAGAGACATACAGTCCCATTGATATGAATGGTAGAGAATGGCAGACATGTTTACGGAGATAGCCTATAATGCCAAAAGAGGGAGCCCCCTGGAGATAAGGATCTGTCCACCAAAGGAACAAACAACAAACAGGAGCCCCCGGCTTGGGAAGAACTGCCACCTGCAGCTGCTTCACCTGAGGTGTGTGTGTGTGTGTGTGTGTGTGTGTGTGTGTGTGTGTCACGGTGGAAGGGCAAGGGAGAAGCTGTGACCCATCTGTCGCCTGGATTTGTAGAACAGGAAACCATTTGTACAGATAAAACTCCTGTACCAAAAAGAAAAAAAAAAAAAAAAAGAAGAAAAATTTCCCCAGAGGGGTCTCACTGCAGCCCCGCAAACGAACCTTACTTGCCCAGGAGGCGAATTTCCGAAAAGGAAATCATCACATTAACGCAGAAAAGGCTGCAAAAGCCGGTCTCCACTCAGCTCTCAGGGATTAGCAAGTGAGAAGAGTTGGAACCCTCAGCTGCGGGCACCCTGCATGATAATGACTCGAGCCCCGCCGCTCCCACCGCGCCACCGGCCGGTCTGCTCGCCAATAGGTGGGGCCAGGATCCTGGCGACCCGTGGGCCCTCAGGGAGCCAGGGCGCACAGCTCGCCCTGGCGCAGTTCGGGAGGCAGCTGTCAGCTACTGCCCTGTCTAGCCTGGCCACAAGAGCGGCCTGCAACGGCTTCGGCGTCTCCCACGCCCCGGGCCGAGAGCTTGTGTCCCGCCATCCTCTCCCGCCACTGTGTCGCGGGGACCGCAGAGGATCGCGAGTCTGGGAGTCCACACCGCTTTCTGCAGCGGACTCGGCCGCTCAGGATGCAAAACCACCTGTTCGAGCCGCGGGGAGCGCCCCCAGCCCCAGCCCGCCTCTCTCCCCGCCGATGACACTGCCAGCACACACCCCCACCCCCATGATATTTTTTTTTTTCCCCCGTGGCTCAAATGTACATCCGGGAAAAATCGGGAAGCTAGAGTCAATCAAACTTCCTTCTCCCCTCAACCCGAGTCCCCACACTCCCTGCACTCTTGTGCGGAGGCCAACGTGAGCCCCTGCGCCCGGCCCGCACTCCCCACCAGCTCTCACTCCCGCGCAGCGCAGCGAGGCTCAGCCACAGCTGAGGGAAAGCTAAGCCTGTGCAAGCGCGGGCACCGAGGGGCGCGAACCGAAGCCACTCCAGCAGCCGGCAGAGGCTCAAGGGGGTGGGGGAGAATAGATTACTGCCAACGAAACGCTAGGGGAAAATCGCCACGAGCCGCACTAGCTCTGTCTTACCGATGTGGATGATGGAATCAGCGGTCGCCAGGTCCCAGGTTCGAGACCACCAGAGCGACAGAAATAAGAGCAAGGGGAAAACTTCCATCCTCCGATGCAGATCTTCCTTGACCACGACTTTGCTTCCAATATGTAGATATTCTTTAAACCGGTCGACAGAGTTTGAGGTCACGATAGAGTTGAGTGCAGCTTTCCCACTAATTTCCAAATCCCTCTCGCCAGTGCACAGTCTTTCTTAGTCGCCAAGGAGGCACAGGCGACCCGAGAGCTAGCACAGCCGGAGGCAGCCTCCTCCCAAGCCCTGTCACTCGGAGGGGAATTTTGGCATCGCCAGAGTTGTTTGCAGTTGGGCTTTTTAAAAATGTATCCAGCCTTGGCTGCTCTCGGACAGGGGGCGAGGCTGGCGCTCAGACGGTGGCCCTGGCCGCGCGGGGGCCGCGGTGGCGGGTCCCAGCTCCGCCGCATCTTGGGCACCCCCGCGCCGGATGTGCCCGCGCCCTCCCCCT